ATTAGTTGCGCATTTTTTTTAATAAAAACTGTTTGTACAGAGTGTGTCATGTAACAGTTGCCAATACCAATTTTATTATTTTAAATAGAACACCCTGTATATTTTTCAATTTTTAGATTCTTCAGAAAATTCTAGACATATTTTATGTACTAGGTATGTCCTGTTTTGGAAATATTATGTTTTTTGATTTTTGGCAAAATTAACATTAACAAAATAAAATTGTTTGATTACAGAAATTCGCTTCTACACCAGTAACGGCTCGTGGGTTTGAATGTAGGTGAGGCGTTGAAAATAAAACACAAAAAAATTCAACTTTTTTATTTTTTGTACATGTGGTCGATTCTTCTATCCTTTAACTTGCAATATTATCTATTGTATCATCAAAAAATGTTTATAAAAGTGTATTTTCAATTAAAATTTTAAATTGGTAAGTCGGTCTTCTGTTATTGTATTTCGTAGATATCTTTTAATTCGTTTTAAACAAAAAAAACTACGTTCGACTGAAACACTAGTGGATAAAATAGTTAAGATTAAGAAATATACCTTATAAGCTTCTTTGAAAATATCACGACTCTCCAATAGTTTTTCCTACAATTTATCGATGTCAATATTTATAAAGTTTTCGTCACTGTACATAAACTGTAACTTATTTTTTAACCTTTGTAAGTCATTTAATTTACTACGATACATTTGAACTAAATTATTTAGTGCTTCTTTAGGAAATCTCTCCAAATATACAGAAAATTTGAAAGTGTCCATTAATGTTACGAACTGAAGCTTATCAGTATCCTGAAAGCGAGTGTTGATTTATTCTAAAATTGTGTCCAGAATTTCATAATACAAAATTTTATATTTTGTAACGGTTGGAACCGTTATTTCGACACAACCACCTTTCACCCCTTAAATGTCATTTGTCGTTTTTTTCTTCCTTGATTCGCCTTGTAAGAATTATTTTTGACTTGGATGTCAACGAATCAACTTGATTTCAATTTTAATATATCTTGGTAATCCGATGTACTAAATGATTTTAATCTATCTTAAAATCAGTCTGATTTTATAAGGTAAGTTTTAACACTAATATATTGTTAAATAAATATATTTTGTACAAGGATTTCTTAAATAAATTGTCAAGTATTGAACATAACCTCAATATCAACAATGGATAACACATGTGCGTTTTATAATAATTTATATATATTTTTGTTGGACTAAGACATTATGCTTTACTATGTTTAAATGTATTAAATAAGATTTTTTTTTTCATATTAATTTTAGTCTCTGTGAAATTATTCATTTAATAGTTTTAAATTGTTCATTTAATAGTTTTAAATTGTTCATTTAATAGTTTTAAATTGTTCAATTAATAGTTTAAGCATTTTATCTAAATCTTGTTCAAATTTCCTATTTCCTGTCTTAACATTTTAACCCTTTCTTTTTAGCATGGCTATATCTAGACGGTTTATTTGGGTTTATATCTAGAAGTTTTGAATTTCTCTTAAGACGTTTTTGAATTTCTATCAAGAAGTTTTATGGTTTTTATACCTAGAAGTTTGTTTTGGTTTTGGTACAATCTGAAGACCGTGGTTTGATTCATCTCTAGAAGATCTAGACAGTTTTGAGTTTAAATTAGAATACCAAATATCACGAGATCATTCATGTTGCAGAATTACGAATAAGGATCCCGAATCCCTTTGAAGAAGTTGCCTGAAGATATAGCATGCAATAAAACATTCCTTATATTACCTCGTTTTAACAAAAGATAAGTGCAATTGAATAAATCATCTTAAATTTGAATTTAGTAAAACTATGTGAATTAGAATTTGCTACTTACCTTATCTAAAGCATGGTTTAAATATAATTTGTTAGTGGTTAGTGATTTTCTATATTTTTATCACTAACCTAAAGTCAAGTGTAGTAAGCTTTAAATATAGTGGTGCCCAACTTCTTTTTCAAAGTTTTTTGAGTTATTTAATAACCTAACCCACGCCCAATCAATTGAGCTCAAACACATTATAAAAGTAGATAGAATAACTAGAGATCACGTTGCAATTTTTGATCTCTTGTCAAGACTTGTCTTATGCGCCCATCACGGTGCTCAGTGGGCAGTTCTGTTCTTAGAGAAACTGAATCAATTATATTTGTAAAAATAACTACATCGCTGATGGAAAATTTTTCGTCAAAAATGATTCAAAGTCATTAAATATATTTAAGTAGCCCTGGCTCTATCTTATTGAAGCATGATCAGAATTTGGGTCGTTTAAAATGTCATTAAAAACTTGTTTTAGAGAATTTCAATTACTATGAATAAAAAAAAAGTTTTAAATTTGTTTTGTCTTAATGTCTGTCCGTTTTTGAAATATTTTAATAATTTTAATTAATAATTTTTAGACCTACTTGTGTTTTGACATCAACTTTTTGTTGCAACTACTGTTTTTATGCATTTCTTAAAAAATACTCGCATACTTGTTTTTACACCGACCCTGTGATAATCTCTAAGCTTAGTCTTAAATAGATGAGTAATACGGACCATACCTGATGATGAGGATCTGATCTCCTCGAAACCGGTCGTATTAAATTACTCTTGTGAGATCTTAAGGACCACCCTTGTTTTATTTACCTCTTTTTTGAACATATAACTCACACATGGCTACCACCTTCAACTTTACCACCTTCAACTTTAACTATGAATAAAACTCAAAACCTTAGAATTAGATGACCATCTTGTAACTACTGAAGTGGGTATTCGCTTATTGAGGATTACATCGGCGGCATGAGTTATTTTTGCTGAATGATGAAAAAAAGAAGGCAGACCATTCACATTAGCAAATAATATACGGCACTTCGAAATGCCGTTACAGCTTTGAGACAGGACTAAATTCAGACGGTGCGCCAAACAATGAACAAACACCACCTCTGGTGCTACTTTTTTAATCTTCCATTGTAAACCATTTAATTGCCTTGGCATAACACTAGCGCCGTCATAACATTGTCCAACAAGTTTTGATTTGTAGTCGTATTTTTCTAGACAACTTGTAACATCATGGAATCCTAAAAATCTTTCAACTAGCTTTCCTTAAGTGTTAACATACCCAATTATTATGCTACATTGAGATTTTTGAGTATTATCTGTTGAGTCGTCTACTTGAATGGAAAAAATTGTAATTATTTAAATAAGAAATACAGTTTATTAATTCATTTTGAATTATTTTAGAATTTGCGGCAAATAAAAGCGAAATTTTTTATAGTATTCTTAAATATCTACAGAACTGAGTGAGATATAGAAATCTAAAAGTTCCTTAAAATTACCGCAATTTTCGGAAAATTTATCTTCATTATGACCACGAAATGCCAATTCTTGTTTTCCTAGAAAAAGAACTGTTCGAATTGGCAACTGCATAAAACGTCTGTTAAGATGCACTTTTTCATTAAATTGTTTTACATATAGCCTAGAGTTTTCTTTTAACACGTTCACGACCGCTATTATGAAATTTGACGATGCTAGAAACCAACCTCGTTTTTTTGGGTGGCATAACTTTTTGAAAAAAAAAATAATATATTTTATAGGTTATATGTGTTTTTTTTTATCTATTTTTTGTGTACCAGACACGTTCAGAAACTGACGCCAAAACACATCTGTCGCCGCTGAACCGCCCGGGAGTTATTTGCATTTAATCATTGTAGGGTCATTGTCACACATTTGTGACATCAGTTTCTGGAAAAAACTACTTGTCACATATATGTGACGCGTGGTGACGTCTTAAAGCGTCTTCAACAGTATTTAATTTTTTTTTAGTTATGCTTATGTAGGTCGCAAGTTACGTTCCCAAAATCACTAAAACCGTCTTTATTCCATACATTTGATTTTAAACCTACTATCAAACAGGGTACGGAAAAAGCTTGTTTAAATAAAAACTATCACACAACTATTTACATTCGGCATACCACTCTTTCCGAAATTTTCGAACAAACACAACACTTGGTCTTTTGACTTAGTTTTTTTTTGCTTACATTTAGTAGAGGTTCAGGTTTTGGCGAATTTAAAAAGTATTTTTTATCCTTACTTCCCCATCTACAGAATGGCATCTCTAATAGCATACATACTGGATCATGTACTGGAAACATTGATAGAAAAACTAGTCGAACCACTGTATAAAAATAGTCCCAACCGGAAGAAGCAAACTGAATCAACGCGTCAAGTGCATTATTCGGGTAGATCGAAACGTGCCGTTACCATGGCAACCATCACAAACGCGCCGATAGAAAAGACGCGTGTTCGGCGGTTTTATGCATAAAGCGTCAAGCGCTCCGTTCGCTCGGATTAGGAAATCTTTCTATTGTATTATATTTCCAAAAACAAGCGAGCCCAGATGGTCGGATTTTTTTTATCAAACGCCTCGTTTGTTTCATACAGTGGTCCAAATACCCCGAAATAAGGTACAGTTTTGGAGGTTTCTGTTTTGTAATTTGTATAGAGACAAAAATGCAGGGCATTTTGTCACAGAAAAAGAAATTTTTAGCTATTCAGTATTTTATTAATTTCTACTGAAATTTTGGTGAAGCAGCGCGTTACCTGCGTCATTTAGCGAGCCGCCACTGTTCAACACACTCAATACTTATTTCCCATTTAGGTCTTGAAAATGAGAAAGTAAGCAAAAACCATTTCAGCGTTCCTTTTTATTAGGTACTGATATGAAATAAGAAAACACCTTATGATTTTTTATTTTTATCATCCTATGACATAGTTTGAAAATGGAATCACAATATTTTTAATTTTGACATAACACTATCTGTAAAACGATTTAAAAATTATTCAATACGGCATATAAAATAACAAATCTAAAAAACCAGAAAAAGAGCTGCGATGCACATATACTATTTGTGCTAAAATCTAGAGGGTGTAGGAGTGAGAGAATTGACCTTAATTTCATATTTTAATACAATTAAATAGTATAAAAGCAAAAAATTATTTTATTTAAACTCCTACTTTACTCCTACGTTTATATTTCAAATTACTATTAATTTTTTCATTAATTGATAATATTTTAAATTAATTTTCTTTCTTTTTTTTAAAATACAAAACCAGTTTGCCCAACGTATTTCGTATTTGACTACCACAGACATTTTTTTAAAGAAACATGGTTATTCTTTTATGTATTGTAGTTTCAGTAATTTTAAATGTAAGTGTAAAATATTTGACTAGCTAAATATGTCTATTATTATTTTCTTGAAAAGGTTAACTGAATTTAAAACTAATGGCCAGTAAAAAATACCCAAATCTCAAACCTATACAACGAAGGATGATAAATACTTAAAAATTAGTAGATTCTCCTTTCAAAATAAACAAGTGTTTTGTATTTTCCGAAAATTTAGATAAAAATAGTAAAGAAGGGAGAAAAGTATTTTTTTACTGACTATATCTTTTAAAATCAATTTTTTTTAAATATACACTCATGTTTTATCCTTTTCCAGTTTCTGAAAAGCCGAAGATGTTATTAATATTCATCATTCTTAACATAACTTTTTATATAATTGTACCTAACTTCAGTAATTTTGGTACCTCTATCATGCCATTTATTTTATTCTAAATCAGTAAGTAACCTCACGTTCTTTTCATTACCTCAATACGTGATGCTATCTGGAAATGAACAAATTAACTGAAGCTGACCGATGACGGCATAAAACATTACAAATGCCTGGACGGGTGTGAAATAATGGGATTACTGGTGAAAGATATAGTTACTTTACAGACCTTTCAACCAAATCGCAGTGAATAATACCTCATACGTCTCTATTTACAATAATATAAATGACAAAAGTACTAAAAGTCACCGAGCTATGGTTAAGGCCAATGATGTTAGACTTTGAATCTAATCGATATGTTTGGCGAATTCAGAAATAATAGAACAATGAAGCAAACAACATTTCAATGACAATTAAATGTGGCACCAGATGAAGTATCATTCAAAACTTTACAAAAAAACTTCATAGAATGAGGCTAAGTTGTAGATAAAAATATGAACAAGAAGATGATGCCTCCAGTTTCGAGATTAAGAAGATAATAAATGATTTAAAGTAGTGAAAATGCAAGGCAACCCTTTATTGCTAACAGCTTGTTATTTAAACTTTTAATCATGGAGGGTAAAATTAAAAGAAATTATCTTGAATACTTGTGTATTACTTTTTCGGTACAACATAATTACAAGTAAATCATAAAAAAACTAATTATAACGGAAAAAGCTACCTTATAATTCAGGCAAGTGTGCGCTAGGAATTAAAACAAAATATTACCCAACAAAAGACAAATGAAGATAATGAGTAAAATAAAAGTCTTAAGAGTAGCAAGTACTTAATTAATGATACAAAATGTAGTAAAAAGCCTAAAACTTTTACTCTTAATAGAACAATATTATCTATTACAGTCCAATTAAATAACGAAAAAAAAAGCCCCTTCGAGCTTACATTAATTTGTAATTGGATGAAACAAAGTGGACCTTATGTATTTTGATGTGATCTTTATGAAAAAAAGCAAAAAAAGATGTAGCTGTTATTAGGAAAAACCGGGTTTTCCGGAATTTTCCATGGTAAAAGTGCTAATTATCTGTTCAAGTATCATTCCGATAGTAAAAATAAATGCACCAACCGAAAGAGGAGGCAAAAATAGTTCGGAAATTCATTACACATGTAGTTTTAATGGCAAATTTCTCGCCGCCAGAAGTGCTTTTACCAAAAAGTTGTTCTTCGTTTCTTTGATCAGAACCATGGACATGAAATTTGCGATGAATTTGTGGCAAAATTATAAATGTTAGACATATGTGCCCATGAGAAAAGTTACTACGACTACTACCGGCCATCAGATTGCCAATACAATTAAGAAAAGCCATCAAGAGATGAAACCCGCCCAATCTTACGTATACTTGAGATACGCCCGGGTTACCACATGTTTTCACGATTTCTACGACTTTTTTATCCAAAGGTTGATCAAAAGTCACGAATACCGTTTTTATCCCTATTTCTTTAGCAGTTGTTGTGGCAAATTTGAGGACAGACGTAACTGAATTAGGATGACTTGAGGGCACATTGCAGGCATACTAAACGAGCTCGTTCAAAAGTCACTTTTCAGTTAGCTTTTGCCAAAAACCATTCCAGCCAAAAAATTTGCTATTGCTGAATTTGCTGAAAAAATAACCCAAATCTGCAGGGGATAAGTTTTTCGGCCCGAACTTTAGAACATTGAGACTCTTCACTTCCCCCACCCATCTGGAATCTTATTGACGTAATTACAAGTAGGAATTTTACCGAAAGCAGCCATTTCTTCTGCACTCAGGACTTTTTTAAATTTTTTCGCGCCCTCTTGGGGTTCATAACAATCAACAGGGACGGCAAATAGTGTCCCACCTGTGAACATGCCAACTTTTTGATCCATTCAACGATTGGACCGGAAAGTCGGCATTATCAAACCCAAAAAAATTATAGCACTGTGATAGAATTTTCTTAATTTAGGAACGTACTTACTCAATAAATTGCTGAAGAAGTCCGAAAAACCACGTGTACACAGAGCTTGCTGAACATGGTTATTAAAAATCTATGCCGATGAACACTATCAAGCGATTCAATTTGTAATAATATGATCGCTTGAAGTTTAAACTTGTCGGATAGCGAACGCCGAAACCATGGCTATTCTTGATGTGACTTGCGGCTAATTTTGCGGTAATTCTATATATTGCACAAAACTCAAGAAACGTCTTATAACAAGTCAGTAAAATACAATTTAATAAATTTTAAGCCTAATAAATTTAGGTATGTAGCAAATTTAAAACTGAAAATCGCAAAAAAATCAAATTACAGAAATGCAGTGTATACACGAGGTTTGGATCCCGCGAAGCGCGTGCAATGGAACTTTTGTCGGGAGAATTCTACAACTTAGAAGAAACATACACACTTTAAACTTTGTATACACATTCAGAAGACATGAAATTTGGGTTTGCTTAATTTTCAGAACCAAGAAACTGAAAATCGTCAATTTTAGGCAACTTTTCTTAAAAACCGTGTTTTTTGTTCGTCACTCAATGAACAGTGGTCAAAAAAATAGATAAAATATTTTTGCAGAATTTTCCATAATGTAATCATATTCTAGACACAATAAAGTATTCAAAAAAAGTTTTTAGCCATTGGGTGCATTTTTGGCATTTTTGTGCCACTTAAAACTATCTAAAAAAAATTTAGTTTTTTTTAGGAAAAAAAAAATTGTTTAATTGTCTGATATCTTGGCCAATTATAGTCCTATTTTGGTGAAATTCACACACACATAAGATTTCACATTTAAGAGTAAGCTTTGTAAGTGGCATTAAATAGTTTGGCCGTTATAGGCAAACAATGAAATTAGGTCCGCGGTACACTTTGCCCTTCCGCCATATGCTCAATTTTGGGATTTTTCTTGCCCCCTAGTCACATCCCTAAATTCAAAATGCATTTTTGTTTTTTCAAATATCTTAATTTTTACCAAAGTAATGAAGAATTTAGTGTTTGAACATTTAACAAATTCAATTTTTCGACCTGCGCCACCTCAAAATACTAAACAAATTTTAATCGTCAATACCGCGAGAACGGTGCATCGGATCAACATTTCTCAGGAGGCATGAACATTAGCATTTTCCCTAAGCTTTCAAATGTCGTAAACTGCGTTTTGAAAATATTGATTTATTTCCGACATGCACCTGCGCAAAATCCAAAATTTCGGCACTTTCGAAAAATAGGTACATTTTGTTTTGCCGTTTTTCGAAAAGATCACCTCAAAATACATATAATCCATTTTGTTTCATCTAATTACAATTTAATGTAAGCTCAAAACCCGTTCGCCAGCGATTCGCCAGCGGATTGCAGCTGATAAATCTATGGCGAATCGCTGGCGAAAAGGTGGCGATTTGATGGAGATTGTAACCGGCATGACATTCTCGCAAGTTTTCATGTTATTTTATAGGGAAAAATTATTTTTCATGTTCTTTTATGGGGAAAAATTTGATATTCGTTAATTGTCTTTTGAGTTATAAGAAATGAATCATGAATAACATGCGAGAGATGCCGGTGACAATCTCCAGCAAGTCGCCACCTTTTCGGGTTTTCGCCAGCGGATCGCTGGTGATACGCCGAGATGAATCTCTGGCGATCGACTATGCATTTGGGTGTAAATGTTTCTTATAATTTCTACAAAGAAATCATATTATATCGATTCTAATAAATTAGCATATGTGCCATTAGATTTTCGTTAATAGCTGACCCAGATTCTTTTGTCACGAGAATTTAGAACTCTATCCAGTTACACAGCAAAACATTTATTTAGATCGTTAGATTGTGACAGATTTAAGTGCCGCAGTTTCGCATACAAGCCTCGAAGAGAGTTGAAAAGTTAGAGTATATAGATGTTGAGTACAATTAAAGTAAACTAACGAGTGGCTCCTGGGAAAAATTGCATTTTCCTTAACTAAACTTAGAATGCATTTTCACGCAAGCCATGTTCACTAAATGATTAACTAAGACAACTAGGCTTCGAAAAACCAAAAGCTTTAATGTTGAAATAAAGGAAAAATCGAGATTTTAACCGATTGTTCCACAGCAGCCCATCGAATGTATGAAAAGTACACCGTCACTAGTCTAAAAAACATATTGGCTTGAATGACCCAAATAAATAAATCCATTTTCGGATCGGAAAATATTTATGTTAGGAAAAATCGAATTTTCCATGTGTAATCTTTAAGAGCCACTTTTCAACCCACTTAGAGGCTTGTTTGTGAAAATGGAGCTCCTAAATTTCTTGGTCTATATTGTGGCTCATGATATTTAGCAAAGATTTTGACCTGATCTGTGATTTATTTATACGAACTACCACAAAAAAGCTTTCTATCTAACTGTCCATTATCTATGAATATTGATGATTAATCATCTGCATTCTACAAAATCAATCAATTAATTCTATGTACTCTAAGTATCACTATTTCTGAAGATATGATTTAGTATAATCATGTGTTTTGTGATGTTAGCCACTTATAAAGGTAAAATATTCATAAACTTCAGACAATTGATAACCGGTTTAAATTTTATCGAGATTATTTATAGTGGAGATAATACAGATATTTGAATGGTCTGTTCTTATTACGTTTCGATCATTATAATTTATTCATTAACTTTTTATAGGTAGCAACCAGTCTTCCTATGGCACAAAACTCCCGACAAAAACTTGAGGCAGAGGAATGCAAAGATATCACGTGTTTTAAAAGAGAGATAAGTTCAATAAAAAAGAGAATATTTCTTACACTTGGTACCGCATATGTAGCAAATAAGGCAGTGGGAATGGTTGTAAATCCAATAGTAGAGAAAGTGTCTAGTTTACTGTATAGTGCAGCTACAGGAGCATGGTCATTCGGTAAAAACTTCTGGACCGGTGGTTCTGGTACCGAAACCGTAGTAGAAGGAGAAGCAGAGAAAGAAACCGACGTTGGTGGGGACGCTGATAAAAAAGAGGCAGAGGAAGAGGTTACTGATGACAAAGGAGAGGCAGAGGAAGAGGTTACTGATGACAAAGGAGAGGCAGAGGAAGAGGTTACTGATGACAAAGGAGAGGCAAAGGAAGAGAGCGATGCTGATAAAGGAGCAGCAGAGGAAGAAAATGTGGAGAAAACCAGTGATGATGGAGAGGCTAAAGAAGCTAAATAAGCCACTTACATTTCAATATTAATAAAAATAAAGAAGTCATTAGTTTTTTAAAATTGTAGAATTTCTTTGTTCTTCCTCTTTTAACCTATTTACATATTTTTTTGTAGGATTTTGTATAAAAGTAATAATGTTACATTACTACAGGTTTTTTTCGGAAACTGGATAATATAAAGGTAAGAAAATATGAAAGATTACTTGTTGGATTATTTTTTTGACATTCGAGGTAATTAAAAAACTCGATATAATTGTATTTTTCCTTGACTTTTGTGAAAGGGGATAGAAAATCTATTAGCCTATATAGAAGCGAAAAGTGTTTCATTCTTTTGTTACGTTAAATACGACTAGTTTTATAATTATTTGGAATGAATTCCTATAAATATAAATAATATATCCAGCTTTAAGTTCCGAAGAATGACGTATACATACTATATTGAAAGTAAATCTACTGCCAAATATTTCAGCTTTTCCTTTAGTGGATATGAAAAATGCTTCATCATCAGTAGTGTCAGTTGAGGGAATGACGCGGTTACTAGAACTCTGATTTATTCATTTAAAAGGATCCAGAATTATTGTCTATCATTGGAAACTGACATATCTTTATGCATCATTTGACATTTAATGGCATCCTTGGAGTATCTCCATTACACTGGTTCCTCGCAGCAATATTTATTTGTTTATTCCCAGAATATTGAATGTACCTTTGGTGTAATTGAATCTTGCATTTTCATATATTTGGCTCACAAGCCGCAACTGCCTGTAAGGATTCCGTTAAAATGCGTAGTTTATACTTATTCAGAAATATAAAGGATTTTGATCTTTTCTGGTCATATCCGCACATAAGTATCTCAGACTGTCTCTTATCCCCAAGAGGTTGTTCCAATTGTCAAGTCAATTAATTCCTAACTCTTTTTTAATCTCTCCTAATATTGTGCCCCATTCCTTGCGAGATTGCAATTTCATTACCCTCCAACTCGTATCATCACGATATCGAAGACAGAGCCACTGTTTTTTATTCGCATTATTTATTCAATTTTTATAGGCCCATCTAGACCATACCGTGATTTTTTTGCCAAGAAAACGCTTGGAAATTTACTCAAAGCAGGTGTGGTTACCAAAAGTAGCTGTTTCGAGGCTCATGCACTCATATTCCAGTCTTTTCTGTAATATGGAACCAATGGCATAATTTTTGGTCGCAGAGACGATTGATTCTTGTGTAACAATCAACTAGCCTAGATACCATTTGTAACCACTGATAGGTCTTTAGCTACTGGTGTTAATATACTATTAAGGGATTAAGGCAGCACGTCACCAGCCAAAGGGTCCTGGATTTCATAAAGAACATCCATTCACCAATGGCAAATAAAAATAATAAAAAAAATTTAATTAAAAAAATAAAAATTATCCCTTAATAATATAGTCGAGCGGTTATTGGCAACTAGTTTTATACTCTGCTAGTCCTAGGGGTGGAAACGCCAGGGCTTCTCAAATAACTGGTTTTGGAAAGAAGAGGAGAGATTAATAATAAGTATTAAAACAATAACAAATGTATATTTAAAATAGGTACAAAATTGACTAATAGTCTCAAGAATAAATGAATCAAATTATATTTAGGAAATAAAGCACTATTTGATAATATATCCAAACTATTATTAAAAATTTATAACAAATAGATAAACATTTTATTAAATTTTATAGTTCGGACATATAAACAACTAAAGTAGCACTGAAAATTTTAGCTATATAAAGATATAAATGATAAATATAATATTAGAGACGAAAAACTGTAAAATTGGTATTTATATGTAAATCAATTAATTATCTCAAACAAAAATAAGTTAAAGATATTTACCTACAGTTCACAAATCGCTAAAAAAACTTTACTTTACACATTACGGTATTTCGGGACTTATGGTCTCGAACCGGTCTCGCCATTTGGCAAGAGTTTTGGACCTCAGTCCTCACTCCAGTCTCTTCCTTCTGTCTAATCTCTCTATTTAAATCGAAAATTTACGTGACAATTGTACTTGTTAGAATGCCAACGTTCTACCTTGAATTATGTAGTTCAATCTAAGCCATTGACTAGATTAATAACCTAATTGTTGATTTTATTGCAATACGTGTGTTTTCTTTTGAATATTAATTTAAAACAAAAAAAAATACTTTTTTTTAGAATGTTTGGTAAATTATTTATATTTTTAAATAATAATGCCAATTATAACACTTGCAAACGAGATCAATGATTTTCAAGTTTTATACATAAATTTAATCTCTAAATGATTTTAACAGGAAGTTATTTCAAGAGAGTATGAAGTGTGTCTCAGCACGGTATCTAAAGTAGCTTAACATTACTTTTCCAAGACGAAGATCTAACTTTGGGCCTCCATTAACAGTTTAGGTCTTGATGACGTCTCATGTTTCTCAGCCTAATGCTACTTGAGAAAATTTGTTGTGAGATTTTGAATTTATTCACCAACTGCCTGTTGGACTAAGCTGTTAGTTTATTGATATTTTTTAAAAAATGTTCTTGAAGATGTACCGATGATGGCCTAATCGTTGAAAGCGTTTGACTTGATTTAATAAATACAAGAAAATATAATAAAATATATTTCCCTAATTACACACTTTAATAAACTTTTTTATTTATTGGAAATTTATTAACTTTATATGAACAAGATTGGGCATAAGTAGAAGAGGTCATTTGACTGATTTGCGTTTATCATTAAGGGCCTTTCGTTTGATTTTTAAATTAAAATTTTGCCATTAGTAAGAACGACTAAATTTAAAATGGATAGGTGAGATCCAGGTATTACCGCCCAGCCTTTTGGACCGCCCACCTACGTAAAGCCAGAATTATGGCTTTTTAAATCACTGTGGCAAAGCTGTCGTGGCGTATACTGATTATGACCATCTCTAGTCGATTGTTGCTTAAAATAGTGTTCTAGTTTAGTTGTTGAAGGTCGGAAGGTCGTATATTTGAAGGCGTTGTGAACTCAGTTTTGAGTCTCTGAAAATAGGCTGTAAGTGGATTATTTTTGAATATTTTAAAACTATTTAAGTGATATAATAGGGAATTTTGTGCTGATTTTGATATAGTAACGCTAACATTAAAATAGTTTTGACCTTTTTGTATTTCACTTGATTTTATTTTGTTAGGTAAGAACGGTTTGGACCGCCCAAAAAAAGGACTATGGACGTCCGAAGACTTAAATTAAGCAATAGCTGCTGTCAGTGAAGGACGTAGAAAACGCGAATCTGCTAACATGTTTGGTAAATACTTGCTTAACAAAAACAAATGAAAACAATATTTTTTTATAATTTTAAATATTTCAGATTTCATAAAGATTGCTTAAAAAACAATGATGCAAGTGAACTCCGCCTTGGAAAATCTTGTTATTTTACAAAGGAACAGGAAAAAGAAGTCGTTAAGCACTGTCTTAAAATGGCGAAACTGTTTTATGGACTTTCTTCTAAAGAACTTTGGAAGCTGGTATATGATTATGCAGAAAAAATAAAATTTGTCACCGAGTTAATAGCGACAAAAACATGGCTGAAAAAGACTGGTTTTCTGATTTCTTAAAGCGAAACTCACAACTCAGCTTAAAGAAAACCAGAATAAACGTCGCTTGGAATATCTGGTTTCAACAAAACCAGCGTTGATCAGTTTGTCAAGAATTTAAATGAGGTATTAGTAAAATAAAAGTTTCAGGCAGATAGGATCTTTAATATTGACGAGACTGGTATCTCCATAGTTCATGCTTCATTAAAAATTCTAGCTCCCAAAGGAGTAAAACCATTGGAAAAAGCTGTTAGCGACCGAAGAAGTCGTAACATGACTGTTACATATTCAAATAGTGCGATAGGAACATATTTACCTCCAACGTTTACATACCCGAGGGTAAGAATGACTGAACAATTAAAATGTAATGGACCGCTTGGGATAAAGTATGCAAAAGGCTGGATGACCGACTCTATTTTCATATCGTGGCTTAAGCACTTTAAAAAATTTGCCAGTGTCTCTAAGGAGAATAAAGCATTGTTGGTCCTAGATAATCATGGAAGTCGCTGCACTTTAGAAGCATATAAGGTCTGCAGAGATGAAGGAATTATAATGGTGTCATTTTCTTCACACATCTCTTATAAGCTGCAGCGTTTAGATTTAACCGTATTCGGACCATTAAAAGAATGAGCATTTTTTTAAGAAATGTTAGCTTTTGATATTGTTGAAATATTTAATAAAGCCTTTATTTATGTAGCCTCTATAGGGAAGGATTAAGAGGTAAGGATTAAAAAGGTTATGAGGTCCGGGGTATCGTACCATATAATCCTAATATTTTTAATTAAGATTTTATAGAAGTAACGAATACTCCTGTGGTCGATGCAGTCACACAACTAATATCTGATATTCAATTAAGTTTCACAAAAAAATATTATTTACTTAGTTTATTTATTCACCTTAAGGGGGCCTATGACGTGGTGGATATTGATATTTTATTTTCAAAAATGAACAAATTGGGAATCAATCCGAAAGTATGTGCTAATATTTTAGAACTTTTTAAAAATAGAATAATTTATATCCGCGATCACTATAATGTATTACATGGTCCTAGAACTGTAAACAATGGTCTACCTCAGGGGTCAATACTTAGTCCATTACTTTTTAACTTACTCGTATATACTGCAGACTTGCATGGCTTTTCGGACAAAAATATTATAATCATTCAATACGCTGATGACATTTGCTTTTATGTCTCCCATAGTTCTTACGAGCGTTGCGTAATTGATCTGAAGTATGTGGTATATTGTATTAAAAGTTGGATAAATTATTTGGGTTTTAGTCTTGCATCTGAGAAATCGGCGGTTTTATGCTTTACAAGACACCGGCTGCATCTGGCGGATACAATTAAGTCACTTGATATTTCCAATTGTTGAACAGTTCAGATACCTTGGAATAGTTTTAGATAAAAAGTTACTCTTGTCAGAGTACATAAAATATATAAAAAAGAGGTGCGAAAAAGGTATGAACTTACTTCCAACAGTTACCTGTTCTAAATAA